GCTGGGACTCCCCGTCCCAGCTGTGGGGCTGGGGCTGTGCAAAGGGTGCTGCTCCCCAGTGGCCTCGGTTCTTGCAAGATGAAGCTGTACAAGCATGCAAACGCCAGCAAAAGCCCTAAGCCACAGGTGGCAGCTGGGGTGGGCATCTCCCACCGCCCAGAGCGGCAGAGGGATGGACGGATGGACAGGCGGACAGACACACTTGGCGCCTGGGAGCTGGAAGTCCCTCTAAATACAACCCACCGGTCATTGGCCCCTCCACAACACAGGGCTGAGCGGAGAAAATCCTTCTCCAGGCCCAGTTCTGGGCTGGTTTCACCCCCTGCAAACCATCTTGTTCAGCCGGTGGCACCCAGAGGCCACAGTGATGGTGGTAGGGGACAGCCAGAGCCACCCCCGCCACTCTGCCTTGAGGCATGCGGGGATGCCTGGCTGCATGTGAGCCCACCAAGCCCACCACCTCCTCGAACACACAAGAGGGACCTTACCTGTGAGCTGCCCTGCACCCTCCCCAGCCCAGGCCATGGCGGTGGGTCTGGTGGCCCGCAGCACCCTGAGCTCGGCTGGGTGCCTGTCCCCTGCCCCGGCACTCGTCTCACCCCACCCTCCCCGTCTGCTGCAGGGAAGTGAAACCGTGCCGTGCCGGCGCAGTCTTGGTGCAGCTGCACCACCACAACCACCGCCTCTGGTGGGGCTGAGCACCCCAATCCGGGTGGCGCTGGCTGTGCAGGGGAGAAGCGCTGCTGCAAAAGCCACCGGGAACCAAAACTCGCTCTGCCCTTGGCTGCAAGTCGCTTGGACCCAGGGAGATGCTCAGGTCGTACAATCACAGAATTATTCAGGTTGGAAAAGACCTTTAAGAGCATTGAGTCCAACCACAAATCTAGCACTGCCAAGTCCACCAGTTCCTTCCCCGTGCAGCTCTGCAGCAAACACCCCCCTCTCACGGCTTTTACACCTCCCAGGTCATCTTAAAATAAAAAATGGTGTGGTTTGAGGAGATGCCAGCTCAGTGGGAGCTTGGGCAGCTTCCCGCACCTCTGGCCTGCCAGGCGAGGAGCTGTGACGGCATCAGGCAGTGTGCCTGGGCTGGGCAGGGAGTGCTGCTCCCGTGGGGTGCAGGCAAGAGGATAGGAACGGACCCAAGGGTGCCCTTGGTGCCCAAAGGTGGGAAGGAGACAGCCACGGTGGGAAGTGCAAGAGCACAGAGGGTATTTGGTGACCCCGCTGGTTTTATTGAGCAATGAGAAGAGGTTTCTCACCACTTTGGGACGCCGGTGTTGAGGATCCACAGCCCCCAGCACCCTCCCAGCAGCTAACCCCAGCTGGCCCCACCAGAGGGACCTTTGGATGGTCCGTAGAGGTTTGGGGGAGGCGAGGCTGCTCCCCAAAGCTGACCATCTCAACCCAGAGCAGGGGGGAGTCAGAGGGCTGTGCTGGCCACCCCCTGGCCCGGCGTCTTGGCCTCGCGTGGGTAGTACTCAGCCAGGATGTTCTCGGGGATGCGCTTCAGCAGCTGCTTGGGGAAGATGCGCAGCAGCTGCCAGCCGATGTCCAGGGACTCGAAGATGCTCCGGTTCTCATAGGGACCTAAGAAGAGATGCAAGCTAGGGAAGTGCAGGAGCTGGGAGATGCTGGGGGTCCGGTCCAGTCCTGAAACCCCCTCCCAGGTGCGGTGCTGGGGTCCGGTCGCCCGCCTCACCCTGGGTGATGAACTGCTTCTCGAACTTCTGCAGGAACTCCAGGTAGAGCAGGTCATCGGGCGAGAGTGCCTCTTCTCCCACCACCGCCTTCATCGCCTGCACATCCTTCCCGATGGCGTAGCAGGCGTACTGTTGGGATGGGCGGGCGGCCGTCAGGCAGGCAGACGCTCGGTGCAACCCAGCGGGCAGGCAGAGTGGGGGCAGCAGTGCAGGTTCCCCCCTGCCCGGCTTTGGGAGGGGCTCAGGGAAACACCAGCCTTCGCTCGGCCATTTGCTGCCCGGTTGTGTCACCCCGCGCCTCGGGGACACCCCGAGCAGGGTCTGCATGCCCGGGCTCAGCCTGTGTGACCAGGTGCTTTTCAAATCCCTCTGGCATCTGCACCATCCACAGTTATATATAATTATCTTATATATAATAATACATGCTACACGGAAAACATCTGACTTGCTGTCAGCCTAGGATTCTTGCAGCAGGACAAGCTACAGCTCTGCTCCCCCATTTGGGGCTTTGCACCCCCTGGACTTTACGTTTCCCAGGGCAAAGCATCCCACCTCCTTACCCCTCACGTTGAGGAGGTGCCAAAAATAAGTGCTTGAGTCCATCACGGCCAAGAGCACCAAGATCTCAGCCCCAAGCAGAGGGAGGAGGGCTCTGAAGGGATGAATGATCCCACTCACCCCACCCCTGTCATCGTCCCCCTCCTGCCCAGCCCTTACCAGCTGGTTGGAGACATCCCCGTGGTCCTTCCTGGTCATGCCCTCCCCGATGGCCGACTTCATCAGGCGGGAGAGGGATGGCAGCACGTTGATGGGGGGATAGATCTGCAGGGTGAGAGGGAACCCCCTCACATTCGCCCTGCTGGACACCCTCATGCAGGCAAGGGGACTGCTGCCTCCACTTCGGGTGACCCCCTGCCCTCGGCACCCCCCATCCCAGTGCTCTTGGGTGGTTTCCAGCCCCACATGATGC